AGTGTTTGCATTATATTGGAAGAGTATCATACATTTATTTATTGTTTGAGTTGATCATAACCTTTGCATGACTGCTTAATCACTTAGGATGAAGATTTTGTGAAACCCTTGATAACTGTGGCTTGCCCCTATATCAATGTAATACCATGCAACTTTCACTTCAGGTTGGAGAACTATTCACTAGCTATCCTGAATTATAATTGAAATAACTATTTTATAACTCAGACTTACCATAACTAAAGGGTGGAAAATAACATACTTTATAATATAGCAAGGTGGTCTTTATTGAGGTAAATGCAAACATTCTGATTGGTTCTTACTGTGTCAGAATTTTTTTATAGGAACTGTTTCCATGTATTTTTGTTTTTGAAAGCCAGAAAATTTGAATAAAAAAGTTTAAATGAAGAACTCAAATAGAAAGTTTAGATGAAGTTTATTCCATACTGCCATGACGTCAGGTCAATATTCCCCAGAATAGCCCTCATGCTTGGTTAATAAGGAGTTATCATGTGTAATCCAATAGGCATATGTTACAGACAGTAAATATATTCTAATATAATTGTCATTGCGATCTTCAAAGGGAGCTTGCAGATCTTGTGATAGAGGCTGTCGAAGAAGAAGGAGGTATTTGTCTCACGAATGTGTCCTTTAGAAAATTATGTAGTGTTAATAGCATATAAGGCAGGCAAGTGATGAGAATAAAGGAAAATATCATCTAGGGGATTATTTATTGATCCTATACTAAGTTTTCTAGCTAACATTCTATGGCAGACAGTGAGGAAAATTACCAATGAGATCTTGGGAATGAAGGGGTTAATTTGTAACCGTTTGGAAAAGGAGACAGAGATGAAACTCTAATTACTAAACAGAGCAAACAGTGGATTTGGGTCTGAGCAGGTTATTAAAGGGTGAAATGACAATATTTATACCTCAAGTTATCAAGCAGGTCAATTGGTGTTGCATACCTAGAAATAAAAAAAGATGCTGCCTGCATGCATACTGAGTAATTAGCTGTACTCAACAGTTGCTTTGTTAATTGGTATCACTATTGAGTCAGCAGACACATGTTCAGATTTTTCCCCTGAAATTCAAAATCTCTCATCGTTAGTATTCCTATCTCTTGTAATAGAGGGTACCCCCTCTGGGAAAATTCTATTGATCTGTCATGACCTATTACCTCAGTCCAAAATGCATACCTGAAAAACTTTTTTTTTTTACATTATCTATGATTATTACCATTATGATATCATTATTTCAGACTCAAGTTCCTACAGATCAGTTGGTATCCATTGGACTATAGTCTTTAATATTAGTATATAAGGGGAACTAAATGAAAATCTGTTAAATACTCATTCTCTCCATTGTACCTAAGTTGCCTTTGTTTTTGAAATTCTGACCAGGAAAAGCTGTCCTATGCTGCACACCTGTCATAAGTGATGCTATGACCATGGTAAAAGATCTGTTGTTAGTGGCTAATTATAGATAATAAAATATGTTAGTGTAATAAGCTTTTCAAATAGTTCAAATGTTTGGCCTTGATTAATCTTCAAAAATAAGTTGTCCAAGGTGTTCATATTAGAATTAATGAGGAAAGTTCAGTATAAGATAGGGCAGTCATGTGGAGACAAGATCTGTTGGTGCCAGAGCTGTCTTAACAAATTTCAAAATTGAAGCTTGATGTCCTAAAGTTTCAGAAATTAGGCTTGATAATCTGTGGGTTGAGAGATCTACTGGATTTGAGCCCTAGCATGGTTTTTTGTGTTCTTGGGAAAAAAAAAACCAGCTAGGAATATCAATGGATGCCAACAAACTGATGGGCAAATATGAAAAAAATCTGGGATGGCAATACTCCCAATAACATCATGCTTCAAAAACAAAGTAAAAGTAAAGTGAAGTGGGGTGGGAAAGGGTGGAAGATAGTCCACATAAAGTGCATATAAAACAGTGTGTATGCAAGGATCTTATATCAATAAAAATGGTATCAATACTAGATAGCTGACTGTTAGCCAACTGAATTCATTTTCTTAGGGAACAAGTGGTATGAAGTATTCCCTAATATCAAGGGACTGGATTACTGATTGTATTGAAATCACGCATGCTGGATACACTGGGGTAAGAATTAGATGAAGTTGTAAATGTATGGATGAAATATTGATGAACACACTTGTAAGTTTCACAGTGCACTTGTTGTCTGGGGGTTTTCAGATGTGAATATATGTCACATTCTTATTAGTAACTGCCTTTCTTGAGATTATTATCGTACCATCTTTCATGGCATGCTGAGGACCAAACTTGATCTTGTGTTCCTCTCAGTGTGAGTTGCAATCTTGTCGTAGTCATGACAACTTATAGGAAGGTGAGAATTTCATCTGAAAATCTGTATGATTTAAATGGTTGCTGCACCATTTAAATTCAGTGTCACCTTCTTTATACCCTTTCCAGGATGGCATGATCTGCCTTGCTGGCTGTGACAAGACAATTCCTGGTGTCACCATGGCTTTACCCAGGCTTGATGCAGTAAGTAGGAATTTTTATAACCCAATATTAACTTAGTGTGTGGGTGAAAAGCCTATTTGAATAGACAATGCAAAAACAAAAAAGGAAAAAAGAAAATTCTTTTAAAAACATGCTTAATTATAAACCTGTAAGTATAACCAGTTTTGACTTAAACTTGTTGCTTTATCAAAATATCTCTGATATTTACAGGTTAAGACTAAGTCACTGAAAGATTTTAAGGTTTGAAAGTGGCATACATTATTTTCAACCAACAGTGTGGTGTTGTTATTTATGGAGGAACAATGCTTCCTGGATGTGGAAAGAAACATACAAATCTGAGTGCTGGGAGTCCTTTTGAGGTAAGAAGCCTGTGGCAGACTATGTCAAAAATTTGTATGACTGCTGTTGTGGTCAGATATAGAAATTAGCCACATGTTTGTGCTTCTCACTGAAGTTAGGCCCTTTTGGCTGGGATTGCCTTTTGGATAGTGACTGCACATAAAATCCCATGTTGTAGACTTTATTTTCTCTTGTCTTTATTTTTGTGATTTAATTCCAGTACTTTGAAGAGTCAGCACTAAATTTAACACATTCCATGTGAAACCAGAGTGACTGTAGGTGACAACCAATGCATGCCTCCTTGAGGCCTCCATCAGTCTTTTTTATGTGTTTACCGTTGGTCTGTTTGCATTTTTTTATGGTAGCCCTTTGAACTGTAGTTTCCTGTTCCTTTATTCTAGTGCTTCATTAGGACTAACATTTCATTTTGCATTTTGATTGTCACTGTCCAATTGACCTTCTATAAGTGTATAATGGGTGAAACAAAATTTGTTGAAAATATGCTGTGGAACAGAAGACTAATAATTACTTTTAATACTTTGACCTTGGCTCGCTAAGGTATTACTCTATGAATATTGCATTTCTATTGTTCTGATTGGTTCACTTTGGTTATCAGCTTATATTCAGAGTCACCTTATATGGAAATATGTCATGCCAACTGGTGCAGAGCTGAAAAAGGCTCCAAATATCCAAAAGTTCAGGATTTAATGAAATTTGATGAAACAATAATTCCAGTCATGCATGTTAGATAAAAGATTGGTTGTAGCCAATTCTGATATCCAACACAGAATGCATGGAATAATTGTTGGATATTCAGTAGTGAGTGAAATTAATTTTGTTTTTTGATTGATGATCAGTCTATCAATCTAAATCTGTGCTTTTTTTCCTTGTAGGCACTTGGCTCATATAGTGCAGGCTTGATGGACATTGAAGATTTGAAGGATATTGAGTGTCATGCAATACCTGGTGCTGGAGCCTGTGGTACATATACAGCTGCCTTATATTTATGACGGCAAATTTAATGATATTTCCATCAACTCCTTTTTGTTCTTGATAACAGGCAAGTCTTGGAGACTGCTTACCCTGAAAGGCTCTGATTGTCAGAGCTTTTTATTCCTGTTCTATCAACCTGAAGCAACAAAACTTTCATTTTTAGGCCGTCTTTTCTTTTTCAGGGCACCACTCTTTTTCAAGAATAGCTGTGAATTTTTGCAACTAACATCTACAGTGACCTTTTCTGGCATCCTTTTTTTAAGTTTCTTTTTTTGTTCAATTTTTTTACTACCTCTTCAGTGCTTGTGAGCTCCAGAAATTTTCAATTTTTTCCAGTTTTTTACATTATACATCAGCTTCCGTGTTTTGTAATTTCATTTTTAGGTGGTATGTTCACTGCCAACACCATGTCATCTGTCGTAGAAACTCTTGGCTTGTCATTACCAGGTTTGTGATGATTCAGTTATCAATTGAAAAGACAAACCTGCTTAGCTCACCATGGAAAATGACATTCCTTGGCAAATTCCTTTGATCTCAGAAATTCTCATCCAATGCAGGAGCCCTCCCCCTGAACAATGTAGTGCTTCAGCTGTGATGTTAGACAGAGAAGCTCACTTTGGGAAGGGATTAGAAAACATCAATAAAAAACAGGATAGAAGAAAAACTAGTCTTCCAAGATCTAAAGTTTTACCACTGATTGTAAACTTATCTTAAGAAGAGTTATTTTACTCCATGCATATTCCAGTTTGTAATTCAAATAATGTTATTAATAACATACAAATATTGTATTTATTCTTTTGGTTTCTTTTTTTTTTTTTCCGTCAATTTGATAGGTAGTGCTTCTGGTGTTGCTGTAGATGGGGAAAACAAGGTTAGTTTCTCAAACTTTATGTTTAAGGGTTAAAATGTGCGTGGCTTCAGTTTTAAATGAGGATATTAAAATGAATAAGTCTTTTTGTCCTTATTTACTAAACTAGATGCATCACTTCTTTTGATCGTGTTTTTCTCTGCCGTTTAGAGCAGCTCTACGTCTTTTGATCGTTTATTCCCAATAAACAGATAGACAGACAGACACACTGGGACACAGAGCTGACTCTCTCACCGTCTTCTGTTTCCTCAGGTGATATCAGCTAAGAAGAGGGAAGTCAAAGAGGCTGTGAGGGCGTTGTTTTCTTTGATGAAATCAGGAAAAACTGCAAAAAATATTTTGAGCAGGAAGGTGATATTTGTCCTTACGCCCCGTTCTTTATGTTACCCGTTGATAATGAAGTAGTGTATTGTTTTATAGTGATCACTAGTGATTTTGGGCACGGCTAAATCAGGAAATGGCACTTGGATCTATTCTGGCATGAAACTTTGCTTGGTCTTACAAATACTGAGTAGTATTTGTACTTCACTTTGAGCAGTTTTAAATCCTTGGTTTGCCTTGGTTGACCAGAAGGGAAATTCTCCATAGCGCGGCTTTTTGAGATAAATAAAGATAAGCTAAGGCATTATCAAACAACAAAGGCCTGTTACCTAAGCGATAATTATTTTGATTCTCCTTTGGATTTTGTACTTTAAATGTAAGTTAAAGGAAAACATCACCAATTCATAAGTAGGTTTCAGGGTGAGACTGATGTAGAATCGTGACCATGCACTTACTTAACATCGCCATGAAATCGCTGACAGTTCGGCCAATGTTCTTGCGCCTTAATCGATGATTAAACCACAGCAAAAGTTTTTTAAAGAATCAATTTATTGTTGAACAGGCCGTAACATTTTGCCAATACTTATGGTCCAGTTTACTCTGTTTTGTTTTGATTCTCATTTTTATCAGGCTTTCGAAAATGCTGTAACAGTTATGTACGCTTTAGGTGGATCAACTAATGGAGTTCTTCATTTACTAGCTCTCGCCCATGAGTAAGTTGTCTTTCCTTTATTGCAAAAGTGTTATGATCGCTTTGAGGAGTGGGATCCATCATTCGTTACATCTTTATGCCACTATCACTTTATAGACAATCCTAATGCCGTGTCCACAGAAGATGCCTTAAATTTTCTTTTGAGCTCAATTGGCTCTATTTGAATTACTTTTTGCGTGGAAAATTCGGCTTGCATCTCTCTAATATAGCAACAAATAAAGTTTTTCTTGTATCGCAAAACTTGCTTGTTCAGTGGGACTGCGTGTAAACGACTGATACGTTAAGTGGACCAAAAAAAATGATACGTCACAAGGGCGTAGCTGTCGGGCATAGGGGTGCAGCTTCTAAATCTTTCAAAGAGGGATTTGATGAAAACTTCCATGATCGGGGACAAGTGGTGTAAGGGGTGTTTGTCACTTATTTTGTATTAAAAATGAAATGGTAAGGTTAAAAGTGGTGGCGGTGGTGTCACAAGAGTTGAAAACTGATTTAAAAATTTATTTGCTATTTAGAAACGAAACGCATCGCTTTAGCAGTACTAAGGTTTACTGATAAGCCTAATCAAGAGATGTACCATTAAGTGAATTAAAACACTCCAACCAGCAAGTCGTAAACATTTGCATACGACTGTTTTATCTTGTTTTTCTCTGTAACATTCAGATCTGAAGTAGAATTTTGCATCGAAGATTTTAATAAGGTTGGAGGAAAGGTTCCACTGATAGCAAATGTTAAACCACATGGTAAGGTAGGTATAGTCCACTCTCCTCATTCTTTCGGCTAAAATCGATGAATTTTCGGCCGAAAAACCTAGAAGTACACATCAGCCCAAAAACGATTCATTTTCTTTAAGAATTAATCGGTCTGGATTTTTTGTCGTTATTTTTTAGTATCAAATGGCTGATTTGGACAAGATTGGAGGTCTTCCGGTAAGTAAAGATTTGGAACTTTGTTTAGCAGTAAGTTACTGTGTTTCGTGAAGAAATTCAATGGATTGAGTTACTTTATACCGAATCAAGTTTCGTACCCTTACTATCCTTTTAACGGAAAAGAGAACGAAGCCTATATTTAGTTATCTTGACCAAACAAGCTCGGTCAATAAAGGATATATCATATGGCCATCGGTAGACCACAGCCTACACACGAAGTGTGTGACAACTCGGCTTGCGTCAATTGCTTGACCTGTGTGCCATCGCTCACGTTACAGTAGTAAATTATAGCACGCGGAAGAACCTTGCATAGAGATATTCCTTGCGTTTTTGGGATGAAGACAACGTTTTTCGATTAAACAGCTCAGCTCTGCCTATAGCTTTGTATCTTTATATGCCTACCTGTGGTATAAACGAAGTCTTCCGGAAAATTAAACTAGAAAGGGAAGATTGGAGAGAAAAGACACCACTTTCCCAGCAGACATAGCACTACGCTTAGTCTTCGTTAAGATACCAACCATTTCTTTATGATCTATGAATAATATTAATCATCATCATCATTATCATCATCATCACCATCATAATAACGATGATACGATATTCTGCCTTCCATCGTCCTTTTGCCATTTAGTATTGTGTGTGTGTACCAACATTATAATAATGAAAGGGG